AGTTCGGTCGCAATTCCGTTGCAATTTGCGAGGGAAATTAAATCCCTTGCAAACATCATAAGTCTGCAACGGAAACTAGCGAGGGAAAATATTGGCGACGGAAGTTCTCTCGCAAGATCTAGGACAAAAAATTGCAACTGAAAATTCATAATTTCCCTCGCAATTTGCAAGGGAATATATTCTCTCGCAATTAAATAACATATAAATCAAATTTATAAGGGACAAGGGCATAAATTAGTCGCCGCATCCTTTGTGGCAGATATTGAGTATGTGTAGTGACAGTAGTGTCTATGTTAGCTAATCATAGGAATGATAAGACTCTTTTGAAATTTAAGGTGTGTGCAAAAATGAATGAAAAGTGAGAAGCAGAGAAAAATGTCTGAAAGATTCCTTTTCCAACCACCCTCGTCGTCATCACTGTACAAATTAAATGAAAAGTGAGACATGCTTCCGGTGCCACCAAAAAGGGCATTGGTCTTTGTAGATGGACTTTAACCACTTAATTAAAAGTCAAGTCCACCCCAATAAAGAAAGCTAGGTTTCCCAATTCAAGATATTCAGCAGCCATTTTGAACGTGCGTGAATAGTATTTTGAAGACAAGGGAGTGCGAAAATCAGTCACTATAAGAGAAAATAGAGAGAACCATTTCAGAAACTTCACAGGAGAATTGATGAAGGAGCAATCTTTGATCATTCTACTATATATCCTCCATCTACCGTTCGGTCCAGCTGAGATTTTGTTGGCATATTCCCGACTCATCATTCTTCATATCCGACGGTGGCTTTTCTTGTTGGAGGTCTATAGCATCACCAGAAATTCCAAACCAAAGTGGTTTGTGTGTACGATTCTACTGAATCACAACGATCTTGAGAGAAAATTTTTTCTTAACTCTAAGTAAGGGTTACACGCATTTTACTTCATATCTAATGGTCAGTTGTTCGATGGGAGCTCTCGAGAAGGATTCGTGTAACTGCAAATAGAGGATGTCAGTATTCCTACTCTAATTTTGGGCAATGAGGTACAAAAGGGAATATCTATTTGCTCAACCATTGGATTGTCCTTAAAATTAGTCAGTGTCCTCCTATCTTGTATTTAACTAACTTGACCGTTGTGATTTTGGATGTTACTTCTGGTAGTTGGAATACATATTGGACAGGAGCTTGTTTATATGTATACCTCTTCAGTTTTTCGTATAACTTGTTGTTGAGTTATTTATTTAATGTTACCGTTGGGATTGTGTCGTCTCTCCATACTCTTCAGTTGTTTACATATTCTGGAGTTATGCAAAAGAACATCATTTAGAACGTGCAATTGTACGAGTGTGAGTGAGAATAAGAGGGAAATATCTGAAATAGACACGCTTCATCCACCCTTATCGTCATCACTGTACAAACGAATGAAAAATGACACTCATATATATATATATATATATATAACTTTGAATGTGTGTGAATAGCATTTTGATTAAAATAGTATAATTGAAATCAATCACGACAAGAGAAAATAGAGAAATAATTCATTCAGAAAATAGGCTAGTTTAAGAAAGGAAGGAGCAGCCTTTGATCATTCTTCGATATCTCTTACCGTCAGATCGAGCTGAGATTTTGTTGGCATATTCCCGACTCATGATTATTCATATCTAACAGTGGGTGTTATGGTTGCAGGTCTGTAGCGTCACCATAAATTCCAAAACTGAAGTGGTTTGTGTGTAGTATTCTGCTGTAGGCAGCAATATTGAGAGAAGGTTTTCTCTGAATTTCACTGTTGGATCTTGCTAAAATATTTTAAGGAATGGTTACACCCATTATACTTTATATCTACCGGTTAGTTTGTCGATTGGACCTCTCAAAGAGGAATCGTGCAACTACAATTAGAAATGGCTATGGTCTTGGTTTTTTGTTTCTCAATAGAACTTTATATGGTGAGGAGGAAACAGAAACAGAAAACACATGAATATATTCTTATTTTCTATTTTCTCTTAATATGACCCTATATGGGACCCACATATTTTCATATCAGTATACGTGATCAAATTATCTTGTACAATGTGAAAAATATTAACCTCACACACACATATAATTTTAAATTTTGGTAATCCTATGTTTACCAAAATGAAAGTCGGCAAAATTTTCAAATTTAGAAATTTCACAGTCATTTGCGAGGGGAAGTAATTAAGTTTGGAGATTTCTTATAATTATTGTGAGTATAAGATTCACAAGATGAAATGATATTTTCTTTGATTTCTGCTACAAAATATTATGATTGTCCATTTTTATTTAATTATATTAATATTTTTCTATTTCACTATATTTGTGAATTATATTTATAGAATAATTTTTATTATTTAATTTTCTATTTTTGATATTCCTTCTCAAGATTTTTGATATTTATATTCTATTGAATATATATATATATATATATATATATATATATATATATATATATATATATATATATATATATATATATATGGATTTGATGTTTGTTATTTTAAATGGCAAAAGTTATGTCATTTTAGGAGAGAGATGGACACAAAGAATGAAAATCATGGGAGAGAAAGTGTGTGGTTTTTTTTTATTTAAATTTTAAATAAAATATTTTTATTTTGTGTCTATCTCTCTTAAAATGACATAACTCTATGTCATTTAAAATGACAAACACTTTTTTCTATATATATATATATATATATATATATATATATATATATATTTTTTATAGTATTTATTCTTATTATTTTTTATTCTTATTAATATTATACCCTATTTATTCTATTTTTAAATTTAATATTTTTCTTTTTGTTTACGTATTATGTAGATTTTTTTTTATTTCTATTCTATGTTTTCACTTTCGCTCTTATTTTCACCACTTCCCTCCAATTTTTCCTCCCACTCACATTTCCCTCCTTTGAGAAGAGAGTTCCCTCCTTTCACTCTCCAGTTGTTTGGCTCCTTCTAGTTCCTTAGGGTCTCTCCGGTGGTCCGTCCGGCGTTCACCTCTTCCAAGGTAATAATATCCATGTTCATAGCTTTCAAAGACGGCGCCTTTTATGCTAACGATGCACTGAATCTATCATTATTGAAAACATAGAGATAAAGAGAGAAAGGAGAGTCTGAGATGGAATCAGAGGACAATGGTGCGCGTGGCGCGCGTGAGCGCACGACAAAGGAGGAAGATCTGATCTAGAGAAGCGTGAAGAAGCCTAAAGGTGAGGCGATGATTGATGAGGCCATGGATAATGAAATGCTAGAGAAGCAGGAAGTTGGAGCTAGTGAGGGTACTACAACCATCATCCCTGAGAAAGTGGTGCTCATGCAAGAGATGCCTGGTAAGAAGTTCGTCTCATACAGAGACAAGCTAATCCGGTTAAATGGTGGCGATAATAACTCAGAGAGCGAGGGGGGGATCGGATTGCGACCCAACGAAGGGAAGAAGAGGAAGACGGAGGTGAGGAGGATCTGGTCCAAAGTGTTGAGGACGATCCACTGTGTCCATCACTCCAATATTCTAAGAGCCAACATAAGGAAGACTGTAAACAATGGAGGAAGGCCCTAATTATCAAATTGTTGGGGAAAAGGATTGGGGCTCGATTCCTAATGGCAAGGTTACAGAGGCTATGGAATCTGGTCTCGACCTATGAGCTGATAGATCTGGATAATGGCTATCTTCTTCTGCGATTCCATGATGAGGGGGACTATTTGCATGTGCTGGAGGAAAGTCCATGGATTGTGGCTGATCACTAATTTGTGGTCCAGAGATGGTGTCCGTTTTTTGATCCATATGATGAGGGGTTTAAGAAACTGGCGGTATGGATAAGGGTACCTGGGCTCCCTATTGAATTTTATATGGCTCATTACATGTGGAAAATTGGTAACCTGTTTGGAAGGACTCTTAAAGTATATAGGAACTCCCTCCGCAGGAATGAGCTAGGAGATAATGTCATTACTGAGAGAGCAAAGTTTGCTCGAATTTGTGTGGAGGTGGATTTAAGGAAAAACTTTTTGTTGAAGTTTAAAATTGGAGATAGAGTGTTTCAAGTGGGTTATGAAGGCTTGCATTTAATATGATTTCAGTGTGGCATGTATGGCCACAGGAAAGACCAGTGTATAGTTAACCAGATCAGGGAGCAGGGTAAACAAATGGAAACAGATTCAGGAAACCAGAAATTAATGGAAGCAAAATTAGCTGAAACTTATAGGGAAAAGCCTAAGGAGGAGGAAGCTTTCGGCAGCTGGATGGTTATTCAGAGAAATAAGAGAGGAGGTAAAACCAAAGTTGTTCCAATGAAGAAGGTTCATGGAGAGGAAGATGGTGCTGCGGTTGACATGGCGAAACATGTGATGGAGAAAGTGGATATCACTATGGGACAGGCTAGGATTTCTGTTCCAAATCTACCTCAGGCTGAACCTAAGGAAGAGTTTAATCTTGCTAAGAAGCCTATTGTTGAGCCTAGTGGGGAAGCTGTGATTAAAGAGGGAAGTAAAGCTGATAAAGGAGGTAACTCTGAAATCTCTAGTCCTTGTCCTTCTCTAAAGTCTAGTAGGCTGGAAACTGGCAGACAAAAAAAAGGAATTCTAAAGGAGAGCAGAGGAAAAACTGGAACTAGTGGAGTGAAAAACACTAAAGGTGGGCCTTATGGTCATAAAAAGGGAGAAGTGGAAAATCTACCTCCCAATGTTACGGGGGGAGGTCCTGATTCATGAAGTAAATAGAAAAGCAGAATTAAAGAATTGTCAGTTGGATGTTGTAGTCCAGTGGAAGAGACAAGTCACGCCAGCATCAAGGGTAAAGGAGTGGATGTGTCTGCTGTGCTAAGCTCTGGCACTATCCCCCAGGAGGAGCAGGTTCGTGAGGTAAATTCTAACACCCTAAGGGGTGCTAGGACTCTGAATAATCTCTAAAAGGGGTGGTGTGGTCCCCATCTTTTAATAAAGTTATGTTTATTTGCTCTTGGAATTGTAGAGGGGTAGGGAAAAAAGAGTTCCCTGCCTTAGTTAGAGATATGACATATAGGTTAAATTTTAGTATTTTGGCTTTGTTTGAAACTAAAATTAGTGGTATTAGAGGGGACAGAATAATAAAGAAGCTTGGATTTTCTAAGAGCTTCAAAAAGGATGCAGTAGGATTCTCTGGAGGAATCTGGTTACTTTGGGATGAGAAGAAGGTGAAGGTGAAGGTGGAGATTATTGATGACCATCATCAATATATTCATACTAAGGTGCTTTATTTGGAGGAGATGAAATCTGAGTTTATCACTTTTGTTTATGGTAGTCCAAGAAGACTGGAGAAACAAACTTTGTGGTTGAATCTGGAGAGCATTGCTCAGGAGACTGATGGCCCTTGGCTGGTTTTAGGAGACTTCAATTCAGTTTTGAATGCTTCTGAAAAGATTGGGGGTAAGGAGATCTGCTGGAGTAGCCTAAATGATATACAGGAATGCTTCTCTAGCTGTGATATTAGTGACATTGGTTTCAAAGGTCCAGACTTTACATGGAAGAGGGGTAAACTCCAGGAAAGACTGGACAAAGCTTGTTCGAATGAGGCTTGGAATCTAAGTTGGCCTAATAGCATCCTATCTCATCTGCCCTATTTTAACTCAGATCATAGACATATCCTATTAATTCAGGATCAGGTTTATAAGATGGAAGATAAGGATAAACCATTTAGATTCTTGGCTTCCTGGATGACAGTGGAAGGCTTTGAGGAAGTGGTGAAGGATAGATGGAGCAATCAACCTGATTGGAATAATGCTAGGAGGTTGTTTGAAATGAAGGCTAAAGATTGGCATCATAATGTTTATAGGATGAATATCAAAAAGAAGAATAAAATATATGCTGGACTTAGTGGCATTGACAGCTATAAATCTGGCTTGTATGACCATAATATGGAGATTCTTCAAAGAAGCTTATGGATGGAACTTCAGGAGATTCTTGTGAGGGAGGAGTTAGCTTGGTTTCAAAGATCTTGATGTCATTGGCTTAAGTATGGAGACAAAAACACTAGGTTTTTTCATTCATCTACAGTTTCAATGAGGAGGCATAACAGAATTGTTGCTCTTAAAAAGGATGAAGGAAATTGGGTGGGTGACAAAGAAGACCTAATCAATATGGCTGTGAAGTATTTTGAAAATCTCTTTGCTGCGAATGAGGAGGAGCTAGAAGACTATCCTGTGAAAGGTCTCTTCCCTGGTCTAAGAATAAAGAGAAGGAAGTTATGTCCAGAACTCCCTCTCCTGAAGAGATCCAGAAGGTTATTTTCATAATGGGAAAATTTAAAGCCCCTGGGCCTGATGGGTTACAGGCTGTTTTCTTCCAATCTCACTGGCATATAGTGGGAGACTCTGTCTGTAGTTTGGTTTCTGAGATTTTTATGAACCCGAAGAAGGTGGAGGAGGTCAATAAAACACTGGTGTGCCTCATTCCCAAGAAAGAGAGTCCAGAGGGTATGAAGGACTTTAGACCTATAAGTCTTTGTAATGTAGTTTACAAGACTGTTACAAAGATCATAACTGAGAGGCTTAAGGAATTTATGCCTCGGATGGTGGCTCCCAATCAGTGCAGTTTTATAAAAGGGAGACAAAGTGCTGATAATATCATCATAGCTCAGGTAGTGGTCCATTCCATGAGAAAGAAAAAAGGGAATAAGGGGTGGATGATGCTGAAAGTGGATTTGGAGAAGGCCTATGATAGGCTTAGCTGGAGTTTTATCAAGGAGGCTTTGGAGGAAATAGGTATCAACAACAGTCTCACTGATCTAATCTATAATTGTATAGCCACCAGCAAAATGAATCTGTTGTGGAATGGAGGATTAACCAGGGATTTCGAACCAAAAAGAGGTATTAGACAAGGAGACCCATTATCTCATTACCTCTTTGTGCTGTGTGTTGAGAGGTTAGCCCACCTAATTCATCTAGTTGTGGACTCTAAGGCTTGGAAGCCTGTCTTCCTGAATAAGAGGGCTCCCCCTTTATCCCATTTGTTTTTTGCAGATGACATCATATTATGTGCAGAAGCACACTGTGGATCAAGCTTTTATCATCAATCAGGTGCTGAAGCTTTTCTCTGCGGCATCAGGACAGAAAATCAGTGCAAGCAAGTCGAGAGTTATGTTTTCAAGCAATGTGGGTGCAACTAGAGCTCATGAGATTGGTGAAAAACTTGGAGTGGGGATTACTAATGATTTGGGCAAGTACCTTGGTGTCAATCTGAGTCATAAAAGAGTCTCTAGGAACTCTCTCATTAATGTAATGGAAAGGGTGCATAGTAGACTTTCTTCATGGAACCAGTCTACTCTCTCTTTGGCTGGGAGAATCACCTTGGCTAAGTCTGTCTTGGAGGCCCTCCCAGCTTATACAATACAATCAACCATCATTCCTGTGAATGTCTGTAAAGAGGTTGAGAAACTGACCAGGAATTTTATTTGGGGATCAAACTCTGATAAAAAGAAGATTCACCTGGTTAACTGGAGCAGTGTTTGTAGATCCAAGGAGGAAGGAGGGCTAGGATTAAGAGACCAAAGAATAGTAAACAAAGCCTTCTCCATGAAAATCAGATATGGAATGTTGACTAATAAAGACACCTTATGGGCTAAAATCCTTCGAAGAAAATATAAGGTGAGTAGTGACCTTATGCCTGTTCTGAAAGAAGATGAGAATGGATCCAGTACTTGGAAGGGAATTTGTAAGAACTGGAGCTGTGTTCAGAATGGCTCAAGGATCTGTATTGGTAATAGGTACAATACAAAGTTTTGGTGGGATAGATGGGTTCCTGGTGTGGGACGACTTATTGATGGGGTGAAAAAACCAGTTCCGGATGGGGATAAGGAGTGGATGGTGGCTGACTGCTTGAATCAAGAGGGAAGCTGGCAATGGTCCAAATTTGACCAATTCATTGAAGATGAGGCTATCAGAATCATTGAAAATATTCATCCTCCCTCTGATGCTAATGGAGCTGACTTGGTAATGTGGAACCATTCTTCAATAGGTATGTTCACAGTGAAATCAGCTTATGATTCTTTAATTCCTCCTCTGACTAGAAATGATTGCAATAAGTGGTATCTAGCCTGGGATAGAGAGGGCCCCCAAAGAGTAAAAGCTTTTCTCTGGTTATTGATTGGTGGGAACTTACTCACAAATGAAAGAAGAAATAGAATGAGCTTATATGCCGATGCCAGCTGTAGTAGATGCAATAACCCTGTGGAAGATATGTTGTAAGGGAAGGATTGTAAGGGATATGCCAGCTGTAACCATATATTCAGAGAGTGTGGTTGGACCCAACAAATTTAGAGGATATGTTGTAAGGGAATGATTGTTAGATACTCCAACACTAGTGGATTCAAAGAGTGGATAGAAGAGAATTTAAACAGGAAGAAAACCAACTTGGATTGGAGGAGATTCTTTGGTGTCATGTGCTGGTTAATATGGCAGGAAAGAAACAGCTTTATCTTCAATAATTCTAGAAACCATCCCATAGATATGGTTTACAAAGCTTCGAAATTTGTTCAGGATTTAATGGTGGCTGATAACATGCTGTTGAAAGCTGGTCTTCTTCCTGAAAGGAGAAAAGAGGTTAGTATTTTTTAGAAACATCCCTCTCCTAATTGGATCAAAATCAACTCAGATGGAGCATGTCTCAATAAGGGAGCTTCAATTAGCTGTGGGGGTGTAATTAGGAACTATGCTGGGGAATGGATTGCTGGCTTCTCAAAGAGGATTTGATGTGGGAATGTGTTGTTGGCTGAAGTTTGGGGTATGGTTATTGGATTGGAATGGGCCTGGGAAATGGGCTATCAACAGGTGGTTCTGGAGACAGATTCCATGGAAGCTTTGAAGATTGCTCAGAATGGATGCCCTGAGTTTCATCCCTGTCATATGTTGATAATCAGAATTAAGCAAGCTCTTGAGAGGAACTGGAAGGTGGAATTATCCCACACTCACAGAGAAGGGAATACAGTTGTTGATTGGTTGGCTGGGCATGCTCCCGAATTGGATTGGAACGTAGTTTGGTATAGAAATCCTCCTGTTGGATGTAGTGATTTGCTTTTAGATGACTGTCTGGGTGTAGGAGAACCCAGACCTGAGTAGCTTGTTTTTGTCTTGTTAACTTTCATACTTATACACACAAAAAAGACGCGCCTTTTATTTGTGCTCCCCAATATCTGATTTTTTTCACTTTTTCATTGTGTAGTTCACCTATCTTCGCAACCACCGTGTCCCGTGGCAGTGACTTATTCCAAGGTGGTTTCTTGCTTTATTATCAATTTGGTGGTATTGATGCATTGTGTCTACTCTGTGACTTGAGCAATTTTTTCTGATATATACTTGTCGTGCATTAAGCATCGTGGTTCTCCCCTTCCTTGCGCAAGTCCCTAGTTAGGGCAAAGTTCTGGTTTGTGGGGAAACCTCAAACTGCATTAAACTTCATAGTGTTTTGTGGAATAGGGAATCTTGGATGTTTTGAAGATTAGGTATTGGATGATCCTCCTCCTTCCACGGTCCGCCTAGCAAGCTGTGATAACAATTTGGCTTTGTTCCTCATTTCCTCTGCCTTTTCCCCAGCCATTATCCTTTTTACAGCCTTCTCCACCGCATCCCATTTAATAGTTTTCCCCACAATTCGTACCTATTTTTTAGCTCCAACAAGTACCCCAATTTTAAGGACTTTAATTTGTAGATGTGGAACTTTAACTTGTAGTTACTTAAGCTCTGTGAAATTAAAAACAATGGTAAAAGTACGAAGAAACTAGTTTGAAAAAACACAAACTATAATCATAATTAGAATAGGAGCAGCTCTCTTTGACCTTAACTCTTGACTCAAGACAACAAAGAAATTCAAACCACACTCAACAGAGAACTTCAAACCACACTCAATTTTAATGATTGGCATTTGCAGTATTCTCATTGTGGTAGCATTTGTAGCTGATGAAAATCTCCATTGTATTGGGACACTCGGGGCATTTTATGGTCTCTGGTAACTTTCCCGCAACAATAGGAATCTCAAGGTGTGAGCAGCGATGAGTGGTTCTCACAATCCTCTCATGGTATTCATTGAAGGAGAACTCAAATCCCTTCTTGATCACAACCTCTTTACATTTCTCAAACTCTTCCACAGTCTTCAAGATTGTGGTTCCATGACCAGCATAGATGACCCTTTGCTGTGGAGAGCCCATCCAGTTTTATTCTTGTATAACAGCATCTTTTTGCACTTCTTGAGTCATTGCATCAACTGTCTTGTGAGCCTTAGTCACAAACAAACTCTCAATGCCACTCCAAAACCGGTTTATAAGGCTTTTATCTTCCTTTTCCACGCAGAACAACTCAATTGAAATCTTTGCCTCTTTTAAGGTGGCATCATTTGCAATCGCGTACTTAGTTGATGAATGCATTATACGCAAGACCTGCTTCTAAGCTCACCAAATATGCTTCTCCATTATTAATTGACTCCAGAAAATATTGGGCTTCGTCTCTTTTGACACTAAAGACACAAGATATTAATTCAGAGTCATATATCACTATATAACATTGGAGTGTTGCTTCATTTTCAATTGCTTATTTGCTTCAATGTTGAATATGTTGCCATTGTTACCACCAACTTATTTGCTTCAATTGATGACTATTCCATGTTACTTGCCAGTCTTTCTTCTCTTCATTCCACCATCTCTCCTCACAATTACCTTGTGAATTCAGAATATAGATTATGAAGCCAATTTCATCTACTTTGGTAAAATAGAAGCCAACGTTTCCTTGCCCATCCTTGTGAAATTACTTTTATTTTATTTGTTGGAATTATTTGTTATGACATTCTGAAATATGCTTTGATCCATTGCATACTTTATGACTTTTTGATTGATATAAACCAAATTATAATTTTCATTATGATTGGCCTTTTATTTTTCTCTAAAATAATAGAGCGGTGCTTCAATTTTTGTATAATGACCGGTACCATTTACAAATTTTTGTTCAAAAAATTA